AGACGAGAATACGTAGGCATAAAGTGCGATACTTTGCCGAGTCATTTTTATTTTCATTTTATTTTCTTTTTCACCCTTGACCTATAGTTTAGATAGAATAACAATCCATACCCGAAAACAAGCGTGGATCCCGTCGAGTACGACGGACGTGAGGGGTGCTAATACCTTCCCCTTGCGTAACCGACTCCCGAACCCAGGTTTTGGTTGCGATGACCATACCTTTCCCGTATTGTGCGAGGTTTACTCTGAGCGTTTCCTTTCCCTCCCGTGGGATAAATAACGCACGGTGGCGACTCTTCTGTTCAGCCGGCGCCGATTTTCGCAGTAGCGACACCAGCCACTGCCATTGGTGTAACTGATTACCATAAAATGCAGTGTAACCGATTATGCCCACGACGGTAATTGATTACACTGCGTCCCAAAGCACTTTTTCTCCAACTTATTATACAAAAATCACTTTTGAACCCTTCCAAAACTCCATTTTTCTTATAAATCGTTTGAAACACATTTTAACACGAAAAAACACTTTTTTTAAATCCCAAACCCCAAATACTTTTCATCAAATTTACTCATAACCTTGTTCCGAATCTGACTCGCGATCACATACCACAAACAATATCAACAACATACACAAATCACATATACGAATCCAACAAAATAATTTGCAACAATACATCATTCTATCATCAATCACAAGATCAATAACCATTCACAATTCATCAAGAATTTCATCAAGCACACAATACCAGTCCATCAAAATCATGAATAGAGAAAGAAACACAAAATCTACATGGCATAATCTACTCACCAATCATCATAACAACCCTTAGATAATTAGAACCCCACTCTTACCTTAGAGTTCTTACAAGAGCTTTAACATGACGATTCTTTCTTCTCTTTCCTTTAGCCCTAGCTCTCCTCTTTCTCTTTTTCTTCCAAAACATGTACCAGAAGTTCTGTCTCCCAACTCCCTTATTTTCTTCTTCTTCTTATTATTATTATTATTATTAATATTATTATTATTATTATTATTATTATTATTATTATTATTATTATTATTATTATTATTATTATTATTATTATTATTATTATTATTATTATTATTTAATCCAACTAATTAAAACAATAGCAATAATAATATCACTAAATATTTATTTAAATAATAATCACCTCCTATTATTTAATTAAATAAATATTAATCAATATAAATTAATTAGTTCTACTCTCCACACCATCAAGTTCTACACAATTACTCACACACTCCTACAACACCTTAGAGTCTATTCTTAAGGCATCTACCCTTCACCACAGGGTACCCTAACATAATAAAACATACATAATCTCATACATACACAAAATATCACATAATTTTAATTACAAAAAATAATTAAAATAAAACGGGGTGGTACAACATCAATTGGATTCTTGATTGATTTTTAACAAGTTCCCAGGTTTTGTTCTTCTCAATTTCCATTAGTTCTTCTTGTATGGTTGCTAACCAATTCAAATCATTCATAGCTTGATCCAAATTGATTGGTTTTGCTTCATCTATCATCATCTTTTTTCTATTAAGTCACCGTCTGTATCGACTGCTTGATCTGGAAATCTCTCATATATAGCTAACCTTGTCAACTCAGTTCTTGCTCTAGTTGATCTCCTAACATTCTGTTTGGTTGTTCTTTGTTTTGTTCGATTGTGACACCAGTCTGTTGGTTTTCATCAAGATAGTTATGATTGTTTTTTGCTCTTGTCGAACTGACCCTTGAATCCAATCCCACCCGCTGCTTTCATCCAATAGAACATCTCAAATGATCACTAGTTTATCATCATTTGGTGATTATAGTTTGTACACACGGTCGAATGATAACCTATGAGTACCATAGTTTGACTTCAATCATCTAGTTTCTATCTCAAATGTTCAGGTACATGCATAAGGCACATTGATCCAAACACTCTAAGATGACTACCATTCGACTTCACACATGCCCAAGCCTCATAAGGAGTCCTCTCGACTATCTTCTTGGTTGGACATCTGTTTAAAATTTATATTGTTGTTGAGTCTGCTTCACTCTAAAATCTCTTTGGCATATCTTTAGATTTCAATATGCTCTTACTCATGTTCACTATACTTCGATTCTTCCTCTTGATTCTTCCCCATTAGTTCTTAGTTTCCTCAACTTGCATCCACTATGCTTCTCGATATGCAATTTGAACTTTTTGAATTGTATGAATACCTCACTCTCCCTCTAAATAATATAAATCCACATATATCTGGTGAATTTATCTATGAAAGTTAGGAAATAGCAGTTACCTTCATTCGACCTTACTTTAAAAGGTCCACACACATCAGAGTGAACTAGCTCCAACTTTTCCTCCAACCTCATTGTCAATTCATGTTTGAGTGCTTTCCTAACCTGTTTTGCTTTGCAACATTTCTCACATACATGACTTGGTTCTTCACTTGAGGTAAGCCATACACCGTCTTCTTTTGGTTGAACAAACCTAAACTTATGAAGTTTAGATGTCCATACCTGTGATGCCACAATCATTTCTTATCTTCTTATTCAGTCGAAACAAGACACATGTGATCAACCGTGTTGATATTTATCTTTGAAGGTCTTTCTTTCTGCAAATGGTACCTTCAGAATCAACCTTCCATCACCATGATACACCTTCATCTAATTCTTTTCTAGCTTCATGTTGTACACTTTTGAGAGTAATTGACTTATATTTATCAAGTTACTTGTCATCGAAGGTACATACAACACATCAATGATGATGACTTTTCGACCATTCTTTTTTACAACATAAATATCTCATTTTCCATTTGATGTGATGTGTCTGCCATCTACAAACTTTATCACATTCTCAACTGATTCATCTAGCTTGGTGCACCAGTCTTTATTACCAGTCATGTGGTTACTGCATCTTTAATTTAGGTACCACATGTTGGTTTGCTCATTGTTTGATTGAGTATTTGCCATCAGTAGCACATCATCAAAATCAATATCTCAAATTTGTGCATAATGTGCTTTATCGCTATCTTTTGCTCAGGTTTCTTTCTTTCTTTGTTAGTCTCGAGCATAATGACCAAAGTCTTGACAGTTATAACATTGCACCTCCTTCATGTCAACTTTCTTCCCTGAATAATTGTTGCCCATATCTTCCTTGGTTGAATCAGGGTAGTTCTTTGAATTCTTGCTTGACTTCTCATCACTTGCAAGATTTTTTCTTTATTTCGCTTTCTCTTTTCTAGACTTCTTGATGAATCTTGCTTGTAGTGCTTGTTTAATCACCTTCTCCCTTTCTAAGTTCCTCTGCTTCAACCTCATATCATGAGCCTCTAATGAAACTTAAAGTTCTTCCAACTTCATCTTAACAAGGTCATTTGCTCTTCAATAGACACTACAATTTTAATTAAAAATCATAGTCAGAGATCTCAACCCTTTCTCAATCTTCTGAAAATCGTTGATTGATTCACCACACGCCTTCATCTAGTTCGTTAACAGCACCACACGTGAAAAGTATTTTGAGACTGATTCTTCATCCTTCATCTAAGTCATCTCAAATTGCTTTCTCAACGTCTGCAACTTCACCATTTTCATCTCAATCGTACAAGTCCTTCAACTTATCCCACGCTCCTTTGGCAGTTTCTTCTTCAATTGTCTTCTCGAACACGTTATGATCCACACATTAATGGATCAAGAATAGAACTTTTTCATCTTTCTTCCTTTGATCCTTGTGCACAACTTTCTGAACATCATCTGCATTCGCATCCAATGCCGATATTCCATCATTCACAATTTCAGACACATCTTAAAATCTGAATATGACATTCATCTGCGCAACCCACCGTTCGTTGTTCTCACCTTTCAAAACCAGTAGATTCCCTAAAAATTGCGTTGATGTTGTTGTTCTATTTGCCATTACAGATTCTCTCTGAATCGCAACTCAGACTCTTTAATCCCAATTTGTTGGATCAAAGTATCTTTAAGAAAGACGAGAGAAGAAGAAAAAAAGAGAGAAAATATATACTATTTTGTGAAAAACGAAATCATTTTTGAGTGAAGTTGTTGTTATTTACATCATATCATACTCTTTATATAGACAACCAAAATCCAGACTTAAATCGTACAAAGTGTAAAATATAAAAACTACAAATTACACTTCGACATAACAACTATATATTATATCTGACTCTATTAAATATAATTGACTTTTACTATATCGACTAACTAGTTCAACAGAGTCGAATAATAATTTTTTATAAAACTATGAATTACAACTAAACTAGCGAGTAAATGAAAATCCAAATCAATAGCTTAAACAAAAACCCATTTAAGTATATTATCTCATAATATAAAATTCACTCCATGACTAAAATATTTACTAACATCAACTTCATCAACAATTTTTGAGACTGAATTCAATCAATCATCCGAGCCCATAGTATTTATAACCGTGTAATAAACACAGTCCTAATTATAGGGCAGTCTATAGGTATCCCACCAACCTTCATATACACCGTACGTACTAGCAAAGAATTTTCCAAATTCAAAAACTGTTTCTTTCCTTTCAGAAACGCGCAATAACTATATCAACAACAAAACAAAAGAAAAAGCGTAATAGCTAGCAATAATGAGATGCATTAATCAATTCCAAGTTGGACCATAATAAACCATGCAATAATACACTTCCTAATCACCCAACATCGCACACAGTCACATTTTCATCACTCCCTTCTCTCTCACACCAATGCATCAACGTTACGACACAACACTCACATAGTAAGCGAGTGAGAGTGGCAATTCCGTAATTATTCTACGGTCCCACTCCCAAGTCAAAAACCAACAACCGATCGAGTCTCTTTCTTTTGTAATCACTTTCGTTATTTTTCTGTCTCACTTTTATATTGTATCCGTTAAAACACCACTTCCACGCTTACCTTTTCAATGCTTATAACCAATTTTCCAAAACACAAACGTTAATTACAAGCAACCATGTCGGATTCCACTACTCCTCTCATGAGTTTGAAGGTACTCATTTTAGCAGGAATTTTCCTCGTCATCGTGATAATCATCGTGCTTCTGATATTCCTGTGCTTTCGCGGTAGCCGAAGCTGCAAGAAACGGAAGATGTTACCGAAGCTACACAGCTCCGGCACTACTCCTTTAGTTTCGAAGGAGATCGCGGTGGTTAGGGAGATTGACCTCACGCGCTCCACTGAAAAACAGACGCGGATTGAGATTATTGAAGATGGTGATGATGGTTCGAAGAAGGAGGCAGATATGAAGGTTGAAATTGGAGTGGTTAGGAAAAGTGACGTGTCGTGTGGGACCTACATGCAGGAGGATCCAAACATAGGGTGGGGTCGGTGGTATAGTTTGAAGGAAGTGGAAATTGCGACACGTGGATTTGCGGAAGGGAATGTGATTGGTGAAGGAGGGTATGGAGTTGTTTATAGAGGTGTTTTGCAAGATGGTTCTGTTGTTGCAGTCAAGAATCTTCACAACAACAAGTATGTTACTCATAATTCATTTTACTTGTTTAAGTCTACTTAGAAGACATCTATGAAAAACTACGTGTATGTGTCTATGTTTGTGTCAGTGTTGTGTTTCTGGTATCCATGTTTCATGCATGTTTCTGTAGGGGTGAAGCTGAGAAGGAATTTAAAGTGGAGGTTGAAGCCATTGGCAAAGTAAGGCATAAGAATTTGGTTCGTTTAGTAGGATATTCTGCCGAAGGGGCTAGAAGGTACTATTATGGTTACATTGTTGTTAATCTTTTGACTAGATGATGAAAATTTGGAATTCTTCTAAACTATTTTGTTGGCATTTTTTTTTACTGATAATTCAGGATGCTTGTTTATGAATATGTTGAGAATGGAAATTTGGAGCATTGGCTGCATGGTAATGTAGGACCAGTTAGTCCCTTGACATGGGAGATTCGAATCAAGATTGCGATTGGGACTGCGAAAGGGTGTGTTTCATGTTTATTCAATTTGCATGTTAAGGATCAACATTGATTTCATCATAGTTTTTTCACAAAAATTTTAACATTGATACATTATGAAACAGGCTAGCCTATTTGCATGAAGGCTTAGAACCCAAAGTTGTGCACAGAGATATAAAATCCAGTAACATCCTTTTGGATAAAAACTGGAATGCGAAAGTTTCAGATTTTGGACTTGCCAAGCTCTTAGGTTCTGAGAAAACTCATGTAACAACACGCGTAATGGGAACATTTGGGTAATTAATCGTTCTCTCTCAAGGTTCCTTATACAGAAGCGAATGACAGTAACACTTACTTAACACTAAATTTCTACAGGTATGTTTCCCCTGAGTATGCAAGCACAGGTATGCTTAATGAGCGTAGCGATGTTTATAGTTTTGGAGTTCTACTCATGGAAATAATCACGGGAAGAAGCCCTATTGATTATTCAAAACCACCCGGAGAGGTGATTTCAGATTTTGTCCTGATTTTTCATTTGTGCATTTGGTAAAACATGTAAGTCTTACATTTCCGTTTGATGCATTTCAGATGAATTTGGTTGATTGGTTTAAGGCAATGGTAGCAAGTCGTCGCAGCGATGAACTAGTTGATCCTTTGATTGAGATTCCACCTTCTCCAAGATCTCTGAAGAGAGTTTTACTGATTTGCCTACGCTGCATAGACTTGGATGTCATCAAGCGACCGAAGATGGGTCAAATTGTTCATATGCTTGAGTCAGACGATTTCCCCTTTCGTTCTGTAAGCTAAATGCTTCAACCACTCTTTCTGTGAAGCTTTGTTTGAATGTCACTTCAATTTCTTTGAATG